ACAAACAGGAAGACGTTTCAGTAGGTGGTAGCACCTGGCCAACTTGCCTGGACCTTGTATTGTGGGTGGAGGACTTAGAATAGAGCAGCTGCCAACACTACGCAACAGACTCTCTCATAAAGAACACTAAAGAAATTTTGGGAAATGTTTTTCTCTGCAGCTTCTAGCAAGATCTGACCCATTTTCAAATTCAGTATTGCTTTTTCTGGTTCCCCATCCCCTCACCCCTACCCTGTGTGATTTGGTTTCATTCTGTTGTTTTCAGGGTTTTCTCTTGCTGATGGAGATATAGACAATTTGATCTAGTGGTTAAGGCACTAGGCTAGAAAACAAAAGACCATGAGTTCAAGTGCAGCATTAGCCAAGAAAACCAGCTGGGTAACCTTGGGCCAGTCCCCTCTCTCAGCCCAGCCCACCTCACAGGATTGTTGTGGGGAAAACACGAAGAAAGCATGTTGGATATGTTCGCTTCCTTGAGTTATTTATGAAAATAATAGAGGCAGGATATAAATAAATGAATAAAAAAAGAATCCCAAAGTAGTTTCTTTCCAACATGCCATTGGATTGGAATGAAACACAAAGTAAGAGCTTCCGGAATTCTTCCCACCACCTGCCAGCACTGACCATAGAACAGACAACAACTACATTTTCTTCTTTGTAATGAAGTAATATGTTGCATAGGTATACATGTCTTTATTCTATTATTCATGTATTTGTGTGCACTGGGAAGCAGCAGGCAGACTGTATATGCTGAGCCCTGAGGCAGAAGGGAGGAGGGCTTAGAATGAAGCAGACACCAACCTGCCGAGGAACTGCTTAATTGTGTCCCATCTCCCCTTGGGAGATTTTCTAGACTTTTTTTTTTCTTCTGCAGTCCTCAGCCTAATCTGGCCTATTTTAGATAAGATAAGATAACCTTTATTGTCATTTTTATACTGTGGGCACAATGGCACACATCAAAAATGAAATTTAGTTGCCCGCTCTCAAAGTAAAACACATACATGACACACACCTAAACATACTATGAACAACATATGTATAGACCCACATCCCTACATATACGTAGCAAATAAATATTAAATATTGTCCATCTTGAATATATAACGGAAGGAGGAAGCTTGAGAGTTCTCAAGGTTAATACTGTATGGAATGAAACTCTGGCTGAATCTGGATGTTCTGCTTCGGATACCACGAAGCCTCCTCCCAGAAGGTAACAAGGAAAACAGGTCATGAAGAGGATGTGTAGTGTCCCAGATAATCTTATGGACCCTGCTCAAGCAGCGCTTCTGTGCTATGTCCTGGATGGGAGGGAGGGAACTGCCAATGATCTTTTTGGCCATTCTCACCACTCTCTGTCTGAAGCAGTGAGGCCTCCAAACCAGACTGTGATGCTGTATGACAGGATGCTCTTGATTGTCCCCCTGTAGAAAGTGGTCAGGACAGGGAAAGAAAGATGTGCTTTTCTCATGCGGCGCAGAAAATGGAGGTGCTGCTGTGCCCGCTTCATCAGTTTCTTACTGTTGAGCGACCAAGTCAACCTACTTCTCTCCCCATACTCAATTTAATCCAGTGCTGTATGATTTTGAGAGAGTTACCATGCTAACAGACCGGTGAAGGGCAGAGTATTGAACCTAGAAATTACATAATATCTGCTGCATTATTTTGGGCTGAAAAGAATAAAAATGTGACATGATAAACAATACCACCATCTGGTGGTGTCTGATGTGCAGCACTACAGCTTTACAACATAAATTACAAGATATAGAGTTAACATGTAGTCATTTAATGACCGTTCATAGTTACAAGTGTGAAGAAAAAAATAACTTTGCAACTAAGGGCTTGTCTTTTAAAGTTGAAGAAGGCATGGGACCAGGTTATTTCAGGAACTGCCACTCCCTATTACATCTGTCCATCTATCTAGGAGACAGGTCTTTTCTGCTGTGGGACTCACCCTTTGGATCATCATCCCCCTCAAGATGAGATTAGCTCAGACTTTATTGACTTTCCAAATTTTTTTTAAAACATGGCTTTTTTTTTTATAACAAGCCTGGGGATCCCCTGCTGAGAGGGAGCCTATGCATTGGCTGTATCATGTATAATATTGTGATGCATTTCTTTTCATTTCATTTGTTTTTTATATTTGTTACATGGCTTTTATATAATGTTTTAATTGTTGATTTTATTGTATGCTGCTCATAATCACATAGTCATGGGCGGGGGGGTGGATACGTTAGGCCAAGAAGGTGATGAAAGTTAGCCCAGAAGGAAATATTAAAAAGGGCAGAAAAATATATTTTTCCTCAAAAGGACTTTTTAAAACCAAACTTGGCCCCAAATCTATCTCTCTGCCCCAAGCAAGACTTTAGCCCTATACAAATGCAAATGTAAAACCATCAGAAAGTTGGAGCTAGAGCAATCAAGAAGACAAAAGAGAAGATCTGCATACCCCACCCAAACTCTAGGAGTCAGCCCCATCACCTGGGAAGCAGGATATGATAACAGAATTAAACCACAGATATCAAGGCCTAGACAAACACTCAGAAACAGTCTCAAGGTTCATGCCACAGGAACAGGAAACTATTCCAAACAAAAGGCTAGGGGGGGTATAAAACCTACTGCCCATGTGCTCAATCTCTGTGTGCTCTCTGCCCTTCTCTCTCCTCTGCACTTTCCTGAAGAACCATCTTTCTGCAATAAACTGTAACCTTCTTCCCAAAGCAGTCGCCATGTTTGCTTATTTATTCCCGGCTTGGATGAACCAGGATGAAGACTTTACTTCTAACAAAGGGAAAGGGCCACAAAGGAAAATTAAAAATCCTTCTGTGCCACAAATCCTTCTGTGCCACCAAGAAAATACCTGCTGTGTGGATCAGTTGTTCCGAAGCTAGTGGAGCCACACCAACACTGGAGTTAGCAGTTGCAGTGGTTCTAAATTTACCATTAAAAAAAACCCCATGGACCACATATTGCTTTATGGGCCAACTGCTGTGCAGGCAATATAAAGATTTTGTGTTTCTCTAGACCAGGGGTAGGCAACCTTGGCTTTTATGACTCGTGGACTTCAACTCCCAGAAGGCTCAGTATGGAAACCTTTCCCTTTCTCCTCAGCATGGCTAGCTCAGGAATTCTGGGAGTTCAAGTCCACGAGTCATAAAAAAGCCAATATTGCCTACCCCTGCTCTAGACCAGACATGTCAAACACAAGGCCCAGGGACCGGATGCGGCCCACGAAGTGGTTTCATGTGGCCTACGAAGCCATCCTGGAAACAGTGAGGGAACGGCCCCCGCTGCCTTGGCCCTGGCCCAGGCCGGCCGGGAGCCAATGTACAATTTTGTGGTGGCCATCTATGCTGAAACACATTCAGTCTTAGCTCCACAAGGCCGTCTGGAAACAGTGAGGAACCAGCCCCTGCCGTGTTGGCCCTGCCCCCTGGTGGGGAGGTGTCACTCTTTGTGAGGAATGAAGAAATGCACCATCGCCTGGAAGTGGCCAGCAAATGGCCCTTGCCTACTTCACATATCTGGCTTGATGGGCTCCTTGGGAGGGGTTTCGGCAGGCAGCGGGGCGCTCTCCTCACAGCACTGAGAGGCTGAGCCGGGTTGTGCGAATCTGATGAGAAGTGCAATGCTGCCTAACCTCCAGCCTGCCCAGTTTCAGCAGGCAGCAAGGTGCAAAGCTGGCAAGCTTCGTACCGCCCGGCTCAACCTCTCGGTGCTGTGAGAGCACCCCGCTACCTGCCAAAACTGGGCAGGCTGGGGGCTGGGCAGCATCACACTTCTTTTTGGATTTGCACTGCCCGGTTCAGCCTCTTGGCGCTGTGAGGAAAAGGCCCAGCTGCCTGCCAAGATGGGGCAGGCTGGGCGGTGGCGTGCTTCTCTTTGGATTTGTGCTGCCCGGTTCAGCCTCTCGGCACTGTGAGGGAAGTCCTGCCTTAGTCCTGCTCTGCTGCCCTTTCACCATCCCCTTGCTCCCTCCTTCTGGCCTATCTTGGGGGTCTCCCATCCTATTGCTAAGGAAGCTTTGGATACAAAGCCGGGTCTCCTCCCATGAAGAGGGAATGGGCCTCCCTCTGACTTTGCCCTCATACCCATCATGAGCAACCTGGCTAAGGAGAGCAAGCACAGCAGCAGCAGCCTTGAGGAGGAGGTAAGTGCAGCTGGTGCCCCCTTGGGGAAGTGGGGTTGACTTGGTGGCACGGGTGCTCGAGGGCCAGGCTGGGCGTATGACCTCTGTTGCCCAGGGCTCCAGGCAGCCCACACCACCATCCAGGCCCTCCCCTGCATGGCCTGAGAGGAATAGTGAGGCTCCTCCAGTGGACCATGCCTTGGCACTTGCCCTGGTCCCACCCCCTTCTGCCAGAGACCCTCAGATCTGTCCCACTCCTGCCCAGGCCCACAGGCACCCTTGATGCGAACGATGTAGAGCTGGCCATGCCCACCCAAGTAGGCCATACCCACCTTGGCCATACCCACCCAGCCCGAGGGAAACCGCAATGCTGATGCGGCCCTCAATGAAATTGAGCTTGACACCCCTGCTCTAGACAACATTTTAAGGATCTAAGAAAGTAGAACAGGATTTGAGCTCTGAACAGTTGGGCCATCAGGAACACTCTGTCCAATTTCCTGACTGTTCTTATACAATAACAGAATAAGAATTGGAAGGGACCTTCGAGGTCTTCTAGTCCAACTCCTGCTCAAGCAGGAAACCCTATACCATTTCATACAAATGGTTGTCCAATCTCTTCTTAAAAACCTCCAGTGTTGAAGCACCCACAACCTCTGGAGGCAAGTAGAAGGAGAGGCTGAGCTCCATCCAAGTCCTCAGTTTCACTTTCATGAATTTGGGGACTGTGTGATTGTTTCACAATCCATAATTTTGACGATCCAGTACAAAGAATTTTTTTAAAAAATGCTGAATATTATTTTATACAATGATAAAGCATAACCTCTTCCTTTTCAATTTCAGCTGTCAACCAGAATGACTTGATATAGTACATTTGTTTTAAAAAGTTTTAATTATATATTACACCAGTACAAACACAAACAAGAAACAGCTCAGTAAAAACAAAATATCTAGCAGCATTAAATAAAAATTAACTGGCTGTATAATTAGAGACACCTATAATTATGCAGGGGAAAAAATCCAAAGCCATAAGCAGTTTTTTAAAGAAGAAATAACTAGAATAGTTTTGATATGAATAGCCAGATAAAGCCACTGAAGTCTGATCTAATCATCACTATAAACTCTGCCCCTACATTTGCAAACTCTCTGGCTCTATAGATTTAAAATCAAGAGAGGTTGAAGGGAAATGATTCACATTTTGAAATCAATATATTAAGCAAGGGTGCATAAGAATCTGAATTGCAGTTTCATGTACATCATTTAAAGTTGCACTAACATTTGCAAATACAGGAAGAACTGAAAAAAGGTGCATCAGATGGAAATAAGGAATAAAACCATCAAGACAGGGTGCCAGAGTCTTGCTTGAATTTGGAATCTTCAATAGAACAGCAGTAAACTTCATTTTGCATATACTGCTTGCATGTTCAAAAATTTGTTAAAGTAGTAAGCTAAGCAAAAAGAAAATTAATGTACAATATTTAGAGAGATGGCCTTACCAGAAAGCTTATTGGTAAGTGGAAATCATATACTGATCTCTATTTATGGTTGATTTAAAACAGTGTTTCTCAGCCTTGGTAACTTTTAAGATATGTGGATCTCAACTCCCAGAATTCCCCAGCCAGCATACTTGGATACAAATCCTTTAATCAGAACAGCTTTTTAATATATTCCAGCATTCAATTTATGAATCTTTTCCTTAATTTTAATTCTTATTATAAAAAGTAATAATGGAAACATGCCTAGAAGAGAGTACTGAATTAAAGGAATAGCTTCCATTAAAGATCCTCATTTATATACTTCCAGTAGTATATTATTTAGAGAAGTCCTGTTCTCTGTAGTAGTTTGCTCTCCATAATATCAGATGGAGAGGCTGTCTGACTCCAAAATAACTTTGGCATTTATACTGGTCTATGACTCGAATGCAAATTTGATTTGAAAATTTGGCAGCTTAAATCAACAGTAAAGAAAACAGTAAAAAAAATAGCAAATAATCCTGTGTGTCTCATTCCCTCTGATACATTCATCACCTATAGAGCTCCTTGGACCACCCTACCCAAGGTCTGGGTAACAGACAGGATTTTAAAGACTTGTGGAATATCATCTGTCCTTACCTGCAGCTGATTTTGTTATAATTTTTTTAGATTACTGTTAATAGTATGTAAAAAATGTCCAGTATCAATGATTCCCAGCCTGTGATCTTATAATAAAGGTAAAGATAAAAGATTTCCTCTTTCTAGTCATGCCTGACTGGAAACTAAACTGGATCTTATTATAAACCAAACCAAACTTAACTGAAAAACTAGATCTTATTATATAGGCAGGTCAATAATAGTCTGTGAGTGCATTACCCTTCCTGTGCAGGTGGGTATATTATCATAATTAGTTCACTTTAGATACAGCAAGTACTATCTTGGGGTTGGGTGAATGTATGCCAATGACTTATGTGTGAGTCTTCGTAAGCTTTTGCCGATAATGTAGAGGTCCTCACAAAAGAACAGGTTGGGATGATGGTATATTTCTGTTATTTGATTGTTGAGTTGGGCTGTTGATAGGACCCACTAAGATTAAATTTAATCATGTCTTATTGCTGCAGTTCCAAAACTGCTTTGCAGCACCGCAGGGTTTATGTTACTACTTAATAAACGCTATTGTCCTAACTGTCCAATAAAAAAATTACTGAGATATTAAGGATGCCCAAGAAAGTCTGTCTCATTAAATCAATTTACTTGTTCAGCTTTGTCCCGGATCCATGAAGCTAAAATATATCTGGCTAATTTATGATTCAGTATCTTGTGTACAATTACAAAGTATACAATTACACTTACAAAATACAGTATATTTGAACTTTTAGAAGTATTTTGCATTAGTGTCCAACAATTATTCTTTGATTGTTATACCCAAAAGCCTAAATGTATTATTTAGATAGGTTCTAACTTGAAATCAGAATATTATATGAGTTTTTCACAACATGAGTATTATGGGAGTTAAGGTCCAACACACACGAAGATAACTAAATTAAGAAAATTGAAGCACAACCATAGCTAATGTGTTGTATTTTCATTGGCTTATGATTCTCTACTTTTTGGATTAACTTTTCTTAGAAAATTTTAACCATGGTTTGTGAAAAACATAGAGCCTAGTTCATATACCTTGTTAAAGCAAGAATTATAAAATTAAATATCTTATAACTTAAATTCTATTCAAGAAATACATTCATATGCTGTATAAATCTCAAGCTGGGTTGTGCAGCCTGAATAAAAAAAAATGCACATTCAAGACAAAACAAAACAGAATTTTAATATTAGGAGTACCAAGAACCTGAATAGCTGGAGAAGTCTGATCTATAAATAACATTTTTGGAGAGATTATGCTTACAGAGTTTGTAAGAACTATACTAACATGCCTGTTGTATAATATTTAAGAATACAAATGCATATAACTGGGATGAATAAACAACTGGAATGAATTAGCCTGGAATGCTGCAAGACCCTACAGTTAAAATGTTATTTTTCAAAGGGGGGATTCTGTCCTCATCTGTTTTTTAGAATATACCAAGGGTGACATATTTGCAATTTACTGTGAATTGTAATCAATGTTAATGTAAATGTTATTCTTGCACTTAAAGTGGTTGAATTGGGAGTTTTGTCTGAACATTCTTGAAAAACTGTAAAAAACAAAAAATCATATTTCTTCACATAATATATAGATATTACACAATATACATAATGGACATGTGTATTGTATATACACACTACATAATATACATAATATACATTGCAATTGAAATAGCATTTTCTGTACTCTCTTTAAAAGTTTGGCACAACTGTTCATTCAAAAGTACACTTTAAGAAAAAGTCTCTGTCCATGCCTTTATGACTATGCAGATATGCCAGGCTGTTTCTGTTAGGATAGCTGGCTTCCTAAGCATTCGGCTCTTGGCAGTTACTACACTTTCTACAATAGTCTTCAATGCAATCTAAGGTGCTGCAGCCAAGAGAATGCAGAGGAAGTGTGCAACATCTCATGAAAGCAGAAATTATTTCTAATTGCACATAGGAATTATTTGTACACTAGGCACAGAATGCAGGAAGAATCAATAAAATCTAATATTTTAATAATAAAATATATCCTTACTTATTCCTTCTAAAGTAACATGTTCCATTAAAACTTTATACTGGAATTAATGAAACTCTCAACAGCATTAAAAGTCAGAACCAGATTTACACTTCTGAGGTATAAACCACAATCCACTGAATAAAGGTAAAGTTCCTGAATGATTTACCGGTGCTTATTGCACACTTAGATAATAGCAATTTATACCATTTATTTTGCCATTTCTTTATTTGAGATGACTATTTTGATTTAAATGTAAATATAAAAGTCAACTATTTTTTATATACTATTTCTAAAGCATTTAATTTGTATGGCTTCTAAAATTTTGTTTATTTACAGATATGGCAGTGCAAGTTTTCAGATTAAAACTACACACAAACTGTATTTACACACACATACATATACACGTTTATATTAAGACTGAAACTTATGGACTCTATAATTTATGTTCACGTTATAGAATAAAACATAGTCCAAAGTGTGATATAAACCAGGGGTCCCCAATTGTTTGAAACGGGGATGTGGGATAAATGGGCAAGCATGTGTGTGAGTGCAAGTGCTATCCGCTTGTGTGAGTGGAGCTTCATGTGTGAGCGCCCTCTACTCACACAAGTGGAGCTTCACGTGCAAGCGCAAGCATCCTCTACTCATGTGCAAAGCTCCATTTGTGCGAGCAGAATGCATGCACACCGCTTGCATAAATGGAGCTATGCGCACACACATGCACCAGCCACTCACATGCCCCTCTGCACTGGGCTGCCAAGGTGGAAAGGTTGGGGACCACTGATATAAACAGAGGAATATATGAATTCTGATATAAAAGATTGACCAAATTATTGCATCAATTTATCAGCATATAATATCTATGAATACCTGAATGTAAGTTATAGCCAACCAGCAATCTTAAACATTTGAACAATACAGACTGGTTAGGTCTGATTTCTTAACCCCTTTATTATAAATATAAAGCTGCAGACTATCCAAATTTACTTGTAAGTAACAGAATAAATTCCAACTTACTTTCCAATTTTTATAGGTCTGTAGTTTCTGTGTCATCTATTACATTACTGTTTCTTTCCATTTCAAAAGCTAACATTCAATAGGTTAATAATGCAAGTTAAAAGCCATATACGTACAACTAATACTATTGTAAAGTTACCAGAGAAGCATCTTCAAAACTGAAAACAAATACCAATGATGGTTTTTAAATGCTGTTTCACAGTAGGAATGTAAGAACCATATTTGTTGTAAAAAGGACAAAATAATCCGATGTTGATTTTTTAAAAAAATGTATTCACCCAATTTAGATTGACTTAAGAAAAGCAAGATATTGTTATTATGTAGAAAGAAGCAACTTTCTCAATGTCAAAAGGATCTTTTAAAAAATACAGTTTACCAAAGTTGCTCAATTAAATAATTGGGGAAGTTAAGTGCACTTTACAAGAATGCCTCTTCTTAGACAATAGTGTAGTCTTCCCACTCATTTTCTTGGTCGTTTGATCATCCAGTCTCTATTTTTTTAAGTATCTGGGACCCAAAAGTCATGGATCTGACCCTATAATAAAAGATTGTCAGATGGAATTAGATGGAAAGTTATACACATTTAAAATAGATTTTAAATACTAAATTAATTAGTGGCAAATCATTGACATATCAACACAGCTTTAAAATCAACTTAACTGGTCTAAATCCAACACTGCATATCCCTTTACTCCATTCCCCAGTTGTTATACTGTTTCTATTTCTTGTTAAAAGGCAAAAAAAATTCTTTCCAGAATTTTTTATTTCTATGCCACTATTATTAACTGATATGTAATATTTTCTATAAAATATATTATAACTGTACCATACCTGAGTAAGCTGAGAACTATGTATCATTTGCTGCCATTTGCTGTATGTTCTAGCAACTAAGTCTTTTACCTAGAGACAGAAAGTTAGAAACTGTTGGAAGCTGAAGTGATGATTATTGCTGCTGGCCTACATTACTTTGAAATGTACTTTAGGAATGTAACAGGACTTACTTTGGAAGAAATGAGGACAGAATTTTATTGCAAATTTAAAGACAGACCAATCGATATAAATAGGACGCAGGGCAAGTCTCATGCCTAGGACTCTAAGCAAAGTAGCACTTGCAAGTTAACAGAATGTGGCTAGCATTATGAACTACAGACAGACCTAGACCTGCAAGCATTCATTTAGTAGCTGTTCAAAGGTTCGGATGATGCTGAATGAATGGTGGCTATGACTGGTCCTCAGTCCTGGCCATCTCAACACCCCTGCGATCACAAGATTGTGATCTCGGTGCTTGGCAACAAATCACACTTACGACCTGTTACAGCGCATCATGATCACATGATTGCCATTTGTATTCTTCCCTGCCAACGTCCCTAGAAAGTCAATAAGAAAGTTGGCAGGGAATGCCATAAATCGCTGGAGTAAGTCTTCCCACCACCATGCATTTTCCTCCAGCTCCTCTGTGCTCATGCTGATCCAGCCATTCGTGCTCCCTCCCTGATCATCTCTTTTTCACCATCCCTGACTTGTGCTCTCGTGCATCAACTCACACACCCTTCTCCAGTCCTTTCTTGCATTCTTGCAGCCCCTTCCCACAGCCCTGTGTTGTGCTTCTCGTGCATTCCCCCAACCCTTGTGTATCTCCCCTGCATCCTGGCACTCTTCCACCCAGTAGCAGCCACTTATCTGCCTGCTGGCTTGGGACTTGCAACTTCTTGCTGGCTCCCCCATTGATTTTGATTGTAGCAAGCCAGCAGGAAATTGCCTTGCCTAATAACAATGGCAACCAGAACTGCAGGAGTTGCCATCATTAAGCAATGCAGTCACACTTTATTACTTATAGAGTCATAACTGAGAGAAGAAAACTCTGGTCCCAAAATCTTTCATTAGTCATGGACTTCCTGTACTTTATCAAATTGTTTCTAATTTTCTGGATACATTTCTGTTAAATACCCTTTCCATCAATATTATAGATCATAAATGGAACATATAACACAATGTTCTAATACAAAGGGTTTTTTTTTTCTCATTTGGCCGAGACAGAAGTAGGAACGAAAACTATTTGGAAACTTGTCTTCTCCTCAGATTTTATATATATTTATTTAAAAGATTTACATAACCACTCATCTTATACAGTATAACCCTGAGAATCTTGCAAGCAATAATAAAATCAGTTAAAAAAAAAACATAAAACCAGCCTAAAAAACTTTCTTGCGCCCACAAATATAACACACTCCAAAATCTCACTAAATATATCTTAGATACTGTTTATTTTCTGCATATTGACTGAAGCCAAACTTGATACCTGAGAAAAAAACAAAATTTTCTACTTGTTGATATCCAGACTTTCCATCGTAAACCTCCAACTGGCCTCAACGACTCTCTAAAACAGGAGTGTCAAACTGGTGGCCCACAGGCTGGATGCATCACGCACAGCCATGTCCATCCCGGCTCCGCAAAGGCAAAAAATGTTGCAATACATCACGATATGTCTCATGACGCGATCGAGTTTGATACCCATGCTCTAAAAGAATGCAAATGCCCACCTGTCTGCAAGAAATATAAATCCTTCCATTCCCCCACCATCCAGTCAGAGCTGAAGAAGCTTCTTGGATGAGAAGCAAAACGTCTTCAAAGAAAAACAAGAAAGTCCAGTTGCCTCCTGAAAAAACACCTTTGAGACAACCATGACCTGGATGACTGTGAACCTCCATAGACATTTAGCTGTGCACTTTGGGATGAACACCCTTTGAACAGTGTGGGAGTATGAACGGATTTCCAGGAAACATTGCAGACTACAGGAACCATTTGTGCTTCAGTTTGAGATGTAGACAACACAGACTCATCCCCAACAGCCTGCGCCTGTCTTCAACAGTGAAGGGACACAGGGCTGAAAACATCCTGCAGCCAAGAAGTCTCCGCAAACATTTGCACTACTCAGATGACCCTGAGGACACAAGTAAACCTCCAATTGGCCTCAACCATTCTCTAAAACAGTGTTTCTCAACCTTGACAATTTTAAGGCATGTGGACTTCAACTCCCAGAATTCCACAGCCAGCATTGCTGGCTGTGGAATTCTGGGAGTTGAAGTCCACATGCCTTAAAATTGTCAAGGTTGAGAAACGCTGCTCTAAAAGAACGCATATGACCAGGTGTCTGCAAGAAATATAAATCTTTCCATTCCCCAACATCCAGTTGAGCTGAAGATCCGAGGTGGTGCAGCAGTTAGAGTGCAGTACTGCAGGCCATTTTAGCTGACTGTGTTCAGCAGGTCAGCGGTTCAAATCTCACCGGCTCAAGGTTGACTCAGCCTTCCATCCTTCCGAGGTAGGTAAAATGAGGACCCAGATTGTTGGGGGCAATGTAAATATATATATACATTGCTTACTGGTGTACACCGCTTAGAGAGTGCTTGCACTTAAAGCGGTATATAAGTCTCATAAATAAATAAATAAATAAATAAATAAATAAATAAATAAGAAGCTTCTTGGATGAGAAGCAAAACGTCTTCAAAAAAAAAAACAAGAAAGTCCAGTTGCCTCCTGAAAAAACACCTTTGGGACAACCATGATCTGGAGAGCCTCCACAGACAGATCAAAAGAATGCATTTGCTCTGATCAAGGTAAACTGGTATAATGGTAAAGAGAAATTTTAAAAGACAAAAGAGGATATAACACCTATCTTTCGGGATGAGAAAAGAAAAGGCAAACTCACCATAGTTCTGTAAAACAATCTGACGTCTTCCCTAATATCACACTTTACATGTTTTTCAAGGGTGCTACAGAGTCTCAACAGCCATTTCTGAAAGAACATTAAACATTTAGTTATGTTATTTCAACCAATTGTTGCTATAGTTTGTAAATATAAATAATATTAATATCTGGTCCAAAAGCTGCAGCATATGTTACATTTTTAGTGGTTTGCGATATAATCATGTCACAGATGATTACAAATTACTTAGGCATTTCTGTTCTGTCTTTCCACTTCTAAAAATTCTCAACCCTAAGCGGCTTAGGGGTTGGTTGTGTAGACAACTGTCTACCTCAGTGTTTCCCAAACTTGACAATTTTAAGGCATGTGGACTTCAACTCCCAGAATTCCACAGCCAGCGTTGCTGGCTGTGGAAGTCTGGGAGTTGAAGTCCACATGCCTTAAAATTGTCAAGTTTGGGAAACACTGGTCTACCTCAATACAGGTAACCCTCAATCTATAGCCACAGTGAGCTCAACCTCTCTGTTGCTAAGAAATTATGACCTTCCTTGCCAGTTGTTAAGTGAATTACACCTCAGCTATGAAGTTAGTAACGTGGTTGTTAGGTGAACCTGGCTTCCTCATTGGCTTTGCTTGTCAGAAGGTGGCAAAAAGGGAAATCAAATGGTTCCAGGACACTGCAACCAGGATAAATACATGCCAGTTACCAGGCAGCTGAGTTTGGATGATGTGACCACAGAGATGCTACAATGGTTGTATGAAAAATGGTCATACCGTATATGCCGGCGTACAAGGCGACCCGGCATATAAGACGACCCCCGTCTTTGTCGCCGAGCCGCATTCCTAGAACATCGTCTTATACGCCGGAAACTACCAATATTTCCGGCGTATAAGACGACCTCCGTCTTTGGCACCGAGTTTAGCGCTTCCGGAAGTCGTCTTATACGCCGGCATATACGGTAAATACTTTTTTCAGTGCTGTTGTAACTTTGAAAGGTCACTAGACGAATGGTTGTAAGTTGAGGACTACCTGTAACTATCAGATTGGACATTGTAGTTGAGTTCTCCTATATTAATCACAAAAGTATAGGATGTACTGCTTTTGGAACTGTGTTCCTATCTGGCTACTTAAGGAAAGAATTTCTGCAGGCCTCTTCTGTTTGAGGTAGTATATTGTGGTGTTAACCATTTATGATATCTAAGTTTTTTGTCATGGGGGAAGAAAAAATAAATTGAAATAATATTGTAATAGTAATAGTAAATAATTTCCTGTCAAATTATTTAAATTTTTCAAGCCACAGGAAATATTTCTCCCAAAGCTTCTACCTAAAACCTGAAATCAGATAGACTTGGAGAAAGGCCAGTAACAGACCTCCAAAAAACATCTGAAAGGGACACAGCCCAATATATGGGAGCATCTAAGAGGCACTTCTTTTTGAATTATTAAAGCAGTCATATCATTTGCAAGGCTACCATAGCTGCATTAGAAATTGTGGAGTCCGTTGGTGCTCTCTGAACGTGGTTGTTTGTTTGTAGACATTTCATTAGCCAACTAGGTAACATCATCAGTGCAAGTGAGTATGAAGTACAGAATAGAAGATCAGTAACTGTAGCCTGATACTTCACTACTATATTTTAATGAAAGTACGAAGAAGGCCCAACAAGCAATTTAATTCAAGTCCTAAAATGGGGTGCAATTATGGTCGTATTTTGAGCAGTCTATATACAGTATTGGTTGAAGATCAATAACCGGATCTTCACCAATTTTCATACAGAAGCTGTTATACAAATCAGTTTTTTCTTAATAAAATACTGTATATGGAAGCTTCACCATCAAAGTTTATAGCAGCATGTATGAACTAGGAATCTGTTATTTATATGAATAGTAGACCATTAAATTCATTGATTTCCAAGTACATGTATCTTCATGAAACAAAAAACTTTTACATGTTAATGAAAGAATACTAGTATTTTTTATATCAGATAGAATTAAAAGTTATTTAACCATAATGTATATTATTGAAAGAATGCTCACTTTGTTATAATGTAAAAAAAATTATCTTTTTTATTTTTACAAGGTAATATCAATAGTATCGTTCAAACCAGGAAAGTTGTATTATGTCCAATGTGTCTTTTTTGTTTTTAACTGTATTATGTCTAATATGCCTTTTTGTTTTTAACTGTATATTCAATAAAACTTTATAAAAATTAAAAAGAAAGAATTTGAGCAAATTACTTACTCTTTGATTGGAACTTGTATGCTCAAAATTGCTAGCTTCCCTAACCAAGTGAAGGAGGACATAAGTCAGATAATAGGCCTAGGAAAAAAGAAGGCAACATTTAGTAAAATGGTTACTTAAAAGGCTACCAAGTTTCTTAGGCTAAGAAACCCATCAGGCTTTTTTAGGTAATTCAGCTTTTGAAGTGCTTCATAAGGCCCAGTCCAGACAATTATCTCTTACTGCACATTAAACAAGCATTAGACTTGAAAGTTATCAGTGCCCATTGTATGGGAAAACATATAGTTATATGTTGAACTCTCAACCAGCTGCAAATAGCTTTAAGAAGTTTAAGAAAATGCATGTTCTTAAAAAATACAGGTAAAATAAAAAAATACAGGTAATCCTCAACTTACCACCAATCTTTTAGTGATTGTTTAAAGTTACAATGGCACTGAAAAAGTGACTAATGACCAGTTTTCACAATCTAATGGACTGGTTTGGACAAAACTCAGCAGCACTTTTTCATGCGGTTGCTGATAAAAACAGGATTCCAACATGATCGCCACGTCCGATAACGGATATGACACAAGAAGAAGAAGAACCATTGCAGCATCTCCATGACCATGTGATCAAGATTTAGGTACTTGGCCACTGGCATGTACTTATGACAGTTGCAGTGTCCCACAGTCATTTGATCCCTTTGACCATTTCTAACTTTCCCAGCCAGCTTCCCATAAGCAAAGTCAATGGAGGAAGCCAGATTCACTTACCAACCGCATGATGTACTTAACAACTACAATGATTTGCTTAACAACTGTGGCAAAAAGATCATAAAATGAGGTGGAACTCCCTTAACAACTGCCTCACTTAGCAATAGAAATTTTGGGTTCAATTGTGGTCATAAATCAAGGATTACCTCTATGTTTATATTTAAAAAAAGGAAGGAATTCATAAAAAAAAACCTACACACATTGTGGGTTTCCACACTATTACCAGCCACACTGCTATTGGCATTTTTGGGCTTGCATGTCAGACTCTTTGGCAATCGCCAAATTCTCAGATGGAGAATAATCTTTTTCCCAAATATGAATCAGAGAGTTTTCTTAACAGGATTTATTGAAGTGGAAAAAAAAGGTTACAAGAATATCAGCAACTAAACAATGTACCGTATATGCCTGTGTATAAGGCGACTTCCGCGAGCACTAAAATCGGCGCCAAAGACGGGGGTAGTCTTATACGCTGAGTCGTCTTATACGCCAGAAATACTGGTAGTTTCCAGCGTATAAGATGATGTTCTAGGAATGCGGCTCGACGATAAAGACGGGGGTCGTCTTATATGCGGGTTGCCTTGTACGCCGGCATATACGGTATCATTTACTCCCCTCCCCAGCAATCTTTTCTGGTAAATAAAAGAGGAACTTAGAAACATCTTCATTAATCACAATCAGAGAACTTTGCTTTTAATATCAACACTTATATATTACTCCTTTTCACTGAAGGGATTTTCTCAAATGTCCGTTAACATTATTCATATTTACTCTGCTGCACACAGAATAGCAACTTGGTTATGTGACCTCATGAAACATGAGCATCTCTTATATCATCAATAATCACAAATTTAGTTTAGACAGCATATCTTGTCTAGCCCTGCTTTTAAAAAAACGTATTACCTGCGGCTCAGATTCAGAAAGAAAAGGCTCTGTAACACCATCATGATGTCCTGAAGTTTCTGACAGACTCTTTAACAGACTTGAAGGTTTCATCTTCACTAGCTCCTTACACAGTAGTGACATCTATTGGGAGATTAGAGTGCAATACAGTTATGTTATGCTTTTTTTTCAACCTTGAGAAGAATTATCTGAAATCATTTTAGAAACTAAAACACCTGCAGCAGGAGGAGTAGGAGGGTGTTTTCTCAAAATCTTTATGCATGCAGCTTCGGAAACCCTGACACCAGGAATAAAATAGGAGGAACTATCACAGCAAGAGGAATCAAACTTTATGAGTAAGAGCAGCTCTGAATTGAAATAAAGTAGATGAAGGTTATACTTCCCTTTATCTAAATTTTGAAAAGCTCCAGAAGATACATTAGAATTTAAACACCAACTCTGAACAAAGTTTACATAAAAGTTTACATAAAAGAAGAATGAAAAAACATAGTTTCGGGCCCATATTTAGCCCAGCAAGAAATGTCTCTTCCACTTGTACCTAATCTCCCCCTCAGCACAGCTGTCCTTGACATTCTCCTCTTGTTTCTTTCCCTTTAGCTTATTTTTTACTCATTGTTTCTACCATTTCCACTGTTTTGTCTAGCTCTAGTTCCCCTATCTGTTTCCTGATTATTTCTTCTGTGTGCCTAAATCACTGACTTGCCTTTCTCCATAATCTCTGCCTTTTGTCATTCTACATGCTGTGCCTCCTTACATCTTGCACTCATTCTATATAATAGTATAAGCTGCAGGATTAAAGAGGAATTTTGCTGCAGAAGTAAATATAGAATCGAGTCTATAACACTGAGGATAGGAGAAATTAAACAATTAGAAATTTAAAATAATGAATATAAATAAAATGGATATGTAAAATATAAAAAAATAAAATGATATCTCATCCATTTTCTGGTGTAGCTTTCAATTTGTTGTGCAATAGGGGTGCAGCTCTCAAGTACACGAAAGCTACACACCATTAAAAGAGAAGTAATTTTTTTTTATCCATACAAAGAAATGGAAGAAACATGAATTAGTAGGATGGTGAGATTACTAATGTGAATTTAAACTCTGTTTATTCGACTCATGCACTGATTCAAGTCTGGAATTACTTGTGAATTCTAGGGCTGTAGACTAACCTAGGAAGTTAAAAAAAAAATCCAGAAGAAAACCAACTAAACTACTTCCATAGCATGTCAAAAAGGCTACATGCTCATTTTTAGGCAACTGAGCTAGAGTCTTAGAAGACTTTAAGAGAACAACACAAGCACTTAAACAATCAAATTCAAAAACATTAATTAAAAAAGCTCCCTTCACTGAGAAAACAAGTCTTAACTCCAGCAAACTATTGTTCTAATGAAAGATTATATATTTTACCTGATGATCATGGCTACTGGGTATTTTCACATGGCTTTTAAGAAGTTTTGAGATTATTACCAAGCTAAGATGTCGTCTTATTTGTCTAGAAGAAGAAAGTTAACATAAACATAAATATGTGAGCTATTATAATTTGGTGCTTTTGGCATGAATTCTGATAGGCATACTAAGTGGTATTGTCTTAAAAATTTACCTTCCACGAGTTGTCCAATTGGGGACAAACTGAACAAGCCACAATAGATTATGATGATGGTTGGATAAACAACTTATTGCCAAGGATAATTGGGACATCTTTTTAAAAGAGAAAGACAAATTTGTTAATAGAATTTGAAAGCAATTGTAAATTCAGTATCAGTGTGTATGCAATTGTTAGATAATACATATAAATATTTATTATATTTAAAGACCCTTCACAACATGTGATTGATAGCATTGGCTTATTACATTAATATTTCTTAATATTTCATATTTAGTGAAAAGACAAAAGTTGGCTATCAGCACCATAGCTTAAAATGCTCCCATTATGCAAAAATATTTCCATTTAAGGCATCTAACAGCAGTTACTGGTAAATGGTTTAACTATTATTTTGTTAAATATATCAGTTCCACAAAACTTAATTAAACCCACTGATTATATTTACACTTAACATCAAACTAGGGGTTTTTTTTAACATCAGTTTTGCAGATGATCAAAATAATTATAGCTTTTATAAATCATTTCTAGGTTGTTTTCATTATTAACAAAAATCCAGTCTGAATAGCCTAAGGTTAATTGATGCTAAGAATTCTTATGTTAAAAATTGAATCTTCTCAAAATGCATTAAAGTAGCACAAATTAAGTTACCTCAGTATCCCAGTTTCTGACGTTTTCAAGCAATTTTATAATAAGGCACTCCAAGTCTACTAGTGGAAATTGCTTCAGTTCTGTCTCCAAACTTATTTTAAATAGTAACAATAGCAACATAAATATTTCTCTGTCTGTGTAACTTTCTGGACACACATTTATACACAATCGCAGAAACTTAAGGAAAGAAAAAGAGAGATAATGACTTCAAATATTTTTAGCAATTTTAATTTTGGCTGCAGGTATAAATTTCAAAAGCAGGTTTTTTTTCTGTACATTCTAGTAAACTTTTTAAAGGTGGCAGTATATTACATAAAGGATTTTAAAAACCTTTTAACATTTTAAATTCCTGTTAATTTTCTCTTTTTAATGTTTTCCTGTGTATCTTGAACTACTTTAGCAAGGAAAATTCCAGTTACTACTAATGAATTTCAGTTAAAGAATACATATTCTTACACTCAACAGAGGACTTTTAAAAACAAAGCACCATTCTTACCTTTGCTATATTGCAAAGATTGCTCTCTATTGGAAGAAAGAAAGCTGTTGGGTTTATACAGATATCTCTTTTTGATTGTTTATTCACAGTTACATGCATTTCACACCTGGTTAAAAAAGACACTTGATTGTCATATAGTTTATTCATATTTTTATTACATATATTCATTTCCCATATAACCTATTATGAAGGGATAACCTAGAAGCAATATTCTGTATTTTAAGATTTCAAAACTATTATTTTTATTGCATACTGTGGTAGGGATGAGGACCATACTGTAACAAGTCTCAGACACATGGCAAAGTGAGTTTTAGAAAAATCGCAAAAATAAAGGCTTAAATCAGGCATGTTTTGTCTTGCCTGGGCTGCATCGACAGAAGAGGAATTTTGTATATGTGTGTGTGCACGCACATCAGAAGTGAGTTTTTTTTCAGCATAAAGGTCATCATTGGATTTTGGCTGACATGTTGGAAAACCTACTCTTAAAAGTAGGGTGGGCCAGGACACAAACTAAATTTGATTTAATTCACATTTATATTTAATTAAAAGTAATTTATTTAAATGCAATTCATAGAAGTACTCCAAATTATTAGAGATTTTCCCTTTGCATTGCATGGAAAATTATTAATTGGTGGCAAATTTTTAGACAGGTACTAAAGATTGCATGCTTCAGATTATAACCTTTTGCTAAATACTTACACAATATCATTTTCAGTAAAGCCAGGCTGAAAATGTTGCAAAGGAAATAACACACTGAAGGAAATACCCATATTGATTAACACGGTTGTTATATCAAATAATGATGGAATCCATGGCTTCTGTTGGTCATTCTTATCAGAAACTGCAGAGAGAAAAAAGTGACAATTTTCTCTTCAAGCCAGAGAAACTGAGAATGTAGGCATTAGGAGTTTACTTAAGAATAACTATGTAATTTTTGTATTCAGTAAGCAGAGCAGAATGAACAAATAACCAAATGTGATATGATCCACAACATACTTTTGATTATAGCAGTTATGTTTCTTGATGCAAACTGTACTTTTTAAATATTTTTCCTATATTTCTGCTCTATGTAATAACATTCAGAAGGGCAAATATCTATAATCAATGTTATAAAGCTGAGAAAATGGGTGAAAATATTGTATCTGCACGGAATTGAATGGTATATTCTAAAGCTCCGTCCTTGAATCTGTTTTGCTATCAATTAGTTGCATCAACTTAGTTCCAATTTCTAGGTAGATATACTAACATACTTTTTATTATATCGGTAAAGCTACAAGGCACAATCTAGAATAGGAATCTATCATTCACGTTACTTTTTTTAGCTTAATCGGTTTTAGTTAATAGCAGAATGTAATCAGGTTTCTTTTGAATGAAGTAAGGTTACATGGTCTCAGGTTTTAATTCAAATACTTACAATTTCTAATTGTTAATAGCATCAACGTATCCAAAATTTTTCTTGAAACTGTGCTATCTGGGTGAATTGACATCATCTATTTGAGAAAAAACATACTTAGCAAATGAAAACATTTTTTTTTTTTTTAGATTTAGTTAGAGTACCATAAGAACTGCTATGATCCCTGATCCCTCTCCTGCCCCAACTCCTTGGAAGAATAGAATAGAACAGTGTTTCTCAACCAAAGCTGGCTGTGTAATTCTGGAAGGCGAAGTCCACCCATCTTCAACTTGCAAAGGTTGAGAAACACTGGAATAGGACTGTAAATTTTCTCTGAAACATTTCTCGCCAGCTAGCTAAGTTGGTGAGTTATGTTGTCTTTACTTTTTCAGGGATTTTTGAAAGGAAGACTTTTTTATGCTTCACAGATTATTTTTTTCTTCTAAATTTGCTCTGCGTGTTTGAGAGAAACATTTTACTAGTTTGCTTTTAAAGAAATTGGAGTTGCTTAAAACATCATCTTTTTTTCTCTGAAACTGATATTTTGTGGTGCTGCCTAGGAGCAAACATGTTGCTTAGTATCAACCTTTACTTGGTCCTTTGTGAATACATAGATCTATTGCAGCCATTGTGCCATTAATAATTCTTCAAGTTTTCAAATGTATTCACCATTAAACAATGAGATACTTGCTTCCTCATAACACAATGTAGTGATTTGTAAGTGATTTAGCAAATGATTTCTTGAAACACTATGTTCAAATGTAGTACAGCTTTTTCTAAAACCCATACATGTCCTTATGGAACCCACTTTTCATGTGGGAATAAAGATAAAGTAGATTACTAAACTGAATAATTTCTTAGACAAAACCAATGGCCTGGGGTACTTTTGGCAAAACCTCCACTTTTCTGTATTTGGCAAGTAATCAAATTCTAGCAACTAAGAGTCATGAATGGAAAAGTGGAAATAGGCAGTGCAGAAAACTAAGCTAAAATTGTGAACTAATTATAGTTTATGCAATCTATGTATTTAATTACATCCATCCAATGCTAACTAAAAGATAAATTACCTGAAACATCCATTTTAAAATTGGTACAGGACAAGGAGAATTATGGTAAGTAGATGCAAGTAAGCCTTCAACAGTTACAAAAAGCTGCTGTGTTATTCCAGATCTGCAGAAACAACCACAAATTAAGGTTCCACCTGATCTTTTCAAAGTTAGCCTATAAATTCAAACATTAAAGGATCCATTCTTACCTAAGAAGATATTTTTCAATCAGATTTTGAGGATGAAAACCAAAGTTTCTCAAATCAAGATTATTCTGGCTGAAGATTTTCCCAGCATTCACTATTTGAAATATGTTTTCTCCAGGGTGGTGGTCGGGAATAGCATCCTGGCTGAATGAGTATCTTTCTATAAATTCTCTGAAAGACAAAATTATATCTGGAAAACAAACTAAAAAGAATTTAAAGCACAATAATCTGGATATTAATTCATCTCAGTTTATTGACTTGGATGAGCTTTTTACTTTCAATACAATCCCTTTATTCCTCCTTTCTAGCTAACTTTAGGATATCCTATAAAGCAACTGCTATGAAAAGAAAGAGGAGAACTTTAGGAGTCAGAGAAACTCACAGTAAAGTTCATTAAAATATTGTGTGTGTGTGTATGTGTGTATGTATGTATCTGGCTTAGGATATTGATAAACTCAGCATGATTACATCAAACCTTGGCTGAGCACAATGCATAAGTACAGATACTAAATGACAATGATTCTGCAACAACATGAGAAAGCAATTAATACACTGATATCAGAGGACCAACCTATGTTCAGCAGATAATTCACCATCAGTAGATCGATCTTCAGGTTCAGAGTTTATTTCAACTATCTCTTTGACTTGCTGTAGTTGGTTCTCTAATTCATCTACCCTGAAATGAGAGATAAAGCGTCTTTCAAAAGAATCTTGATCCCTGATTATAAAAACAAACTTTCCAGCAATTTTATATAGCAAGATAGTAGCATTATCCAAGATGCTTCTCCTGATCTTTTAAAATAAAATCTGATAGTCATGTGGCTATCTAATTTATAAGCATGTATTGTAACATGGTATAAGCACATTTCTGGTCATAAAATAAAAGTTCTAAAAGACTCATTTCAACCTCACTTTTTTTTTTTTTTTACTGAAAACAGTAAAGCAGGCTTGTCTGCTTTAAAGTGGTAGGACAAACAACCTGTGATACTTTCAGGTACAGAAAGGTGAGAGAGTGGGCTACACAAAGAAACAGAGAAACTGTTCTTCAGGGAAAATTACTGCATTAACCAGCTTCTACAACAAATTGTAATATTATTTTATTCACACATCATTTCTGCAGCTATTACATAATCTTTCTATATCCTTTCATAGGGCCTAAAGATGTGGCTCTGCCAGTTGGCTTGGGGCCCCAGTGGGGGAATAGCAGAGTGGAGGTGGTTGATCAAGTAACAACAGATCCCAACTCGCCCCACTCCACCCCTGCCCTCCTCAGATGTCCTTATATGTTAATGTCTGATTTTAATTTATGTTTTAATGTATATATACTGTATATAGACATATTTTTAGGACATTAAGCCACAGAGTTACCCTATGGGCAGCCATTAAATTTTATAAATAAATAATAAATAAATAAAAGATAATATATAGAGATCAGGGTTGAACTATAGAGTCCTTGGTGCTCTCTGAGCTTGGTTGTGTGCATGCAGATGTTTCATTACAGCCCCATACTCACCAGCACTGATGATGTTACCAAACGTATTGAAAGGCCTACAAACAACTAAGCTCAGAGAGTGCCCAGGACTCCGTAAACTTAATTTATTACTACTGGTAACCTTTGCTTTAGTTTATTACTAATTTTATTTTTCCCCCTGGTGATAAATCTTTATTATTGTCTTTTTATTTTTTTAAAGTCTTTCATTAGCCATCCCAAGAAATAAGTTGGAAATATTTGATAACTGCCTTTTTGTGGTAATGTCCCAAGGCCACAAAGAGGAAGGTTATCTCTTGCTCTGTCTGCTTGAAAATATCTTTCCTTCAATATCTAGCTGTTTTTACATTTTCTGTTTTTCTTCTCTTTCTAGGCTCCCTCATATCTATATGAAGTTAAGTCGCGTCTTTATCTAAAAAAGCTCTTTTTATCTAACAATTAAGTACTTTTCATTATATATGTAAAAACAAAACTTATCTCACTTGCCAAGAGGCAGGTGAAATGCAAGCTACAGCCAAGTCATAATTATGTTACAAACAATAATGTGTAATTGTATAAATGAGTATGGACCAGAAAGGTAAGCATGCATACCTCGTTAACTCTTCCTTCTCTTTCAGGAGATGCTCCAAATGATTCATGTATGAGGCACCACGCTCAATAAAAGGTTTAGAAAGCTGAAGCAAAAGTCCATGAAAATCATAAAATATTTTCAGACCACTGATGGATATTAGACTTAATATCTAAATTTCTTAGATGTTTATTCAAGAAAACTCTTGAAAGAGCTAGAAAGTCACACCTGAAAATCAATTATAGTCCTTGACCAATGACCACAATTTAGCCTAAAATTTCCATTGCTAAGCAAGACAGATGTTAAGCGAGTTTTGCCCCATTTGACAACTTCCTTGCCACAGTTATTAAGTGAATCATTGCAGTTGTTAAATTAGTGACATGGTTGTAAAGAAAATCTGGTTCCCCACTGGCTTTGCTTGTCAGAAGTTCACAAAAGGTGACCAAATGACCCTGGGACATTGCAGCTGTTATAAATACACGCTAGTGTCCAAATTTTGATCCCATGACCACAAGTATGCTGCTTATAGTCATAAGCGCCAAAAATGGTCATAAGTTACTTTTTTCAGTGCCACCTAAGTTTGATCATTAAATGAATGTTTGTAGATCAAGAAATACCTGTATCTCAAATGCACTAAGTGGAATATCAGAGGGGAAAAAACAGGATCTCTTAAAAAAAAGTTTTATGTTGTTTGTCACAAATCCTCTAACAGAATCCAACCTATTAACTGAAAAGGTCACTGAGCTAATCGCAAGAATAAGTCAATATGAGTTTTTTTTTATGAGGTACAAGTACAAAGTTTCAAAGTTTCCACCATCAACATCATTGAGAAATAATTTTCTGGCAAACTATTCTAATTTGAAAATATCTTCCCTTTTGCAATGACTTCCTAACATATATATAATAGATTCAATGAAAAAGACAGATGCTATCTTCATATTGTAATCAGGGATTTCTGGATTTTTTTTCATGTAAAATTATACCAATATTTTTTAAAAAATTAAAAAGTAAGGCTGGGAGCTGTACCAGTAAAGAGTCGGTTTTCATGAGGATATTTGTGCCTATGGTCATTGCACTAGATAGGACTTTTTAACCAAAGACAATTACTTACAGAAGCATTATGTGTTGTAGAAATTGTGCTTGCTATTTTATCCTTATTCATAGCTTCTTCTGACTTTTTTGCAGCTGGCCTGACACTCTGTAATAGTATTTTTTCAAGAGGGATGAGTGTCTCTTCTTCACTACTGACCACGCTGCAATCAGAGGCCTCATCATCACTATCAGAAATGCTCTTTAATTTTTGAATTAACTCATATGCTTCATTGTTAGATTTATTTAAGTTATATGAAGAATTAGGAATAGTGTCACAAGAACTATCTTCAAGTGAGACAACACTGTCACACTCTCCCAAGGAAGATCCAAGTTGCTCAGCATTTTTTTCTGAAGGAACTGTAGAATCATTATTTCTTCTTGTTTCTAAATAAATATGACAAGTAGATGTCTGTAATTTCCTCTTGCTAGTATCTGAAATTTGGATTTGGTCATTTTTATTTATAATGTATCCATTTGATTTATTTTCAGCTTCAGATTTTTCTACTGAAATAGGCAAGTCACTGCTAGGCCAATCTATATCTGCTGAGTGTAAATTCTTGTGAGAAGATATTCTGTGTTTTGAATAATTAGTATTATGGGGAATTTGCGAACTACCAAGTCTGTGTTTATTTAACGTCTGAACATTCTGTAAATTTTTCACATTTGTTTTTGATGAAATCCTTTTCCGTTTTCTAGCATGTTTATGGTTAGCTATTCCAAATGAAGGTATAGCACTGGAATATGCTGTAGGATTGGGCTGGCTTTTTGTGACAATAGTTTTATCAGAGTTTAATCCTGAATGAAACACATTTTTTGAAGCGTGTGCTGAAGAAGATTCATCTGTAAAATGAAAACAAAGTGATGATTACACTGCATATTCCTGCATATTACACTTCATATTCTATATTAACTATTCAAATGGTCAAAATAATGAAATAATGATGATTATTATTTCCTCATGCATGCACATAAACAAAATGTATACTGTAAACAGTATACATTTTGAAGCAGTAAACCTCAGGAAATTAAATGTTGTAGGAACTGGATACTGTATTTAATTCCCTAAAATAGTTCAATACTATTGTTATGAAATTAATAAATTATGAATAGCATGTAAAAAAATGTTAGGCTATGCATAAAGTTCATAGCTCAAGATTTAAGGAAAAAAATGTGAGAGATAAAAGAGTTACAAAACAATATCATTCAAGGTTAGAAGTTTGCATGTTGTGGCATCCTTGGTGCTGTCTCAGCTTGGTTGTTTACATGTTATCCCTGAAGAGATTGCCCATTTGAGTAAACAACCAAGCTCAGACAGTTCAACCCTAAGCTACACATATTCTCTTCTATAAGTATGTAAGTTCCTGTTCTTTTAATGAGTTAAAAAAATTACAAGGTTTTTTTTAAATCTACATTATTATATTGTGGGCCGCCTGGAGTCATCCCAAGGAATAAGATGGGCAGTTCAAAAATGCAATAAATAAATATACTTGAGTTGATAAATGTAACTTTTTGCATTTATAGGTGAGGTTAGTATGCTGATGATAATACCCAGTTTTACATTTCCACCATGGGCCAACCAAACAGTGCTGCCAAGAACCTTTCCCAGTGCCTGAGGACTGTGGGGTCCTGGATGGGGGAAAAAGAGGCTTTGGTTCAACCCCAGCAAAACTGGATAGCTATGGGATATAAAGCCCCTTCCCCCACTAATTCCAGAGGCTCCCCATCTTTAATTCTGCCTGGCATATAATTTATGTGACTTTTGAAGGCCAAGTGCTCTGATCTGATAGGCAATTAAAAGTTCTTCAAAGAGCAGGTGGCAACCGTGTGTGGGAGTGGGAGCTTTGCAAGGGTTCATCTTGTGCAACCATTCCCGAACCAAAAAGGCCTTACTCATGGTGATTCATGCCTTAGTTATCTTTCATCTGGACTTCTGAAACAGGTTACATGGGGCTGCCCTTGAAGATCATTCAGAAGCTGCAGCTGGTTCACAATACTACAGCACAGGGTTTTGACATTTCTTAATACATTGATATACCACTGCAATTGAAGATGATGGTTATCACCTATAAAAGCCTTAGTTGTGGGACCACTGCTTGGCCCAGCAGATCTAAGCACAGGCAGCACATTCCAGGTCCCTTCCATCAAACAGTGCCATGCTATTGCAATCAGGAGTTGTCTTCTTTGTGGCAGCACCTGTCCCATGGAATAACAGCCTTCCAAAAATTGGATTGCCCTGACAGTGTTAAACTTTCTCAAGGTTCTGAAGATCCGGTGGTAACTCCTAGAATTTGGTGGTTAGATAAGCTCTGCTTTTGATGTGAACTTTTTGATTAGAGTGAGGCTTTGTGGATTACATATGAATGCACTTGTTTTAATTCTTATATGCTGCCCTGAGTTACTGTTGTAATAGGGGTGGCCATATAATTTATTTGAATAATACCAAGGAATACTGAGCTAAAATATATATTTTTAAATCTTATGTTACATCATTTACTTTTATGTTTGTACCTGAAGAAGATTCCAGTGAAACTGAGCTTGAATCTTTTCTTAAGAAATCTTTGGTGTCCTTAAAATAAGAATATACAGAAAAAAGGTTTTAGAATATACAGGTAAGCTTTTACAGAGTATAGACCTTTCCAGTATAGCAGATATTTCAGGATTAAACAGGACCATTTGAGGCAGTTAAAATATCACTTGTAGAATAACAGCATCTTAGAAGAAGTAATAAATTTAGAATAGATACTTAAACAGATTCAAAGTAGAAAAGAGCTTCAGTTTATAGAAAACCAATCAAGATGAAGCAACTTTCTCCTGAGAAAAATCATTAAATTGGCCAAGTTCAGGATTTGTACTAAAGATAGCCTATGTCACAATTGTTAATGTCACACAACATAATGATGTAAAACCCAACTACATTATGGTTTAGTACAATTAAAAATCTAATAAACATTTAGAGCTTTTTTGGCTTCTGGGTGAGAAAATGGCAGACTAAGACTCTTCAAAGGAGTGGAGACACAACATTGTGCCGAAGGTCAGCACTCAGGCATTAAGCCAGACAAGGAAAAGCCTCTTGGGCTCTAGAAGACTGCAGAGTGGTAGATTTGTGACTCTGAGGGCCAGCTGTAGAAGAAACAGCTCACAACTGCAGCAGAGCCTGCATTAAGACACTGAGTTAAAGTGTCTTAACCCAATTAGGATTATAATTATTTTAAAGTTAAAGAGAAAATAATAGCTGTTTCTGGATTGTGCCATGTGGCCAGGAACAAAGAGGCATGCTCTACTTCCCTAGTGTGAGCTCTGGAAAGCAATCAAGAGCTTGAATTAAGGAAGTAGAGCAAGCTGTTTCCATCTCTGATCCGTGCGGTGCAATCCTGGAATTAGCTACTTTTGGAGTGCCCACAATTCAGTGCAGCCAGCCAAAACATGATGGCTACTTCCAGGATTACACCACATGGCCCAGGAACAGAGCAAACTGTCCTTCCCTAACCCTAGTTCCTGAGATCTTCAAAAGGTAAGGGGTGGAGCCCAACCGGGTGGGAAGGAGGCCCAAGGCCCACAGGAACCCGGGGGGGGGGAGAAAATAAGCAAGGGGGCACTGCAATATCCCTACAGGGTGAACGACTGCAGAGATGCTACAGTGGCCATAATTTTGGATCCAGGTGGTAGTAATTTTGAGGAGAGTGTCTGCTGCAACTCTGAACTAAGTTACCAGTTTTAGCCCTGGTGGTGCAGTGATTAAAGTGCAGTGTTGCAGGAAAAACTCTGTCCATAGCCTGGAGTTCAATCCTGATGGGGTCAAGGTTGGCTCAGCCTTCTTTCCTTTCAAGGTCCATAAAATGAGGACCCAGATTGTTGAGGGCAATATGCAAATAATGCTTCTACACTGTAAACTACCCAGAGAGTGCTGTAAAGCACCATGGGCAGTATCTAAGTCTAAATGCTATTGCTGTAAGTCAAGGACTACCTGTATTAATTTGCTATGCAGTTATTATTCTTGCATGAATAGGAAAAATAATTTCTAAAGATTTATTTTCAGAAACAAAAGTGCAGTTTTTTTACCTTCTCTTGTCTCTTTCTGCAAAGAGTTCCTAACGATTCCGGAGATGAAGAACTAATTGAACTGACTTGTGGCAACCTGGAATAGACTGGTTTTTGACACTGAGTTACGTCGCTCTGCTTCTTCAGACTGTTATTTCCTGAAGTGGAAGGCCATTTATTCAAGCTTGAACCAGTTGTGTCTAGATCTTCATGTTCTGTTTTATGTTGTCTATTACTATTGTCTATTAAATGTGTTCTTGTCCGAACAGAATTGTTCTCATTTCTTTCCAAATTTGTTGTGTAAATATCTTTTAATAGGAAAGAACCGTCAGGTAAGGCATTAGATATGAACAGTCTCCGAACCACAGGTTTTGGATGATTAGCCTTCAATATTTTGCAAACACCATTTTCTGGACTGTTGTTTTTCTCTGACTTAGCCTTTCGGAATAAAGCATCAATTATTGGGCTTCTGCCTGATAGTGAACAAGGCAATTTCTTCTTTCTATTTTGCTTTGAAGAAGATATGCTTTTTTTAAGATGGTCTACACATGAAACTGTATGTCCAGCATGTCCATTTCCTTTTTCTGGAGAGCACAACACAGTTCTGTCTTCATTAATACATGTAAAAGAAATGAATAACAAATTAACCATACACAATTTCTAGAATTTTATGGAGCATTTCAATGGCCAGTCTAAGTCTCAGATTATTGATAATTATTTTTTTGACATTTATTGAAATATATGTCTTTGAGTGAGATTATTTGAACAAGGGATCAAAACTGTTACCACCTACTAGATTTTTAGAGGAATATCCCTTCCAAAACATTGTTTGAAATCTCTTTAGATACAATTAAATCTTTCCAAAAGAATTAAAAGCATGCAAGATCCCAGTAATGGGTTCTTGAAGTCAAGAAATGTTGCTTGTGTATGGTCTAAGACAAGTCATACAATTGAATTATATTTCACAGCAAGAGACATATCAGCTATAAGAATACTCACTGCTCAATAGTACCAATAAGTACTTTGCAGGTAAGAGAACACAGCATTTCAACTGAAATAATGGGAAAAAACATAAGGGACACATTGCCATCTGTGTAGACATATTTTCAGGCAATGTATTTTCTCTGGATATTTTGGATGGCAACATTCAATCAACCTGAACTAGCATAAGCAGTTGTAGATAATAGGAAATGTGGATTAAAGGATAAATGCACTAATTTAGTAAATAGCTATTCCAATGCACCATTATTAGCAAGTTTTTTTTTAGTTCTTTCAAGCCACTGAGCTTTGGAAATTTAATTACCTATATAACGGCATAATTCCATCCCAACTGTCAGTGGATCCACTAAGGAAGAACAATAGAACCATCATTTGTTTTCACCAGTCCTCAGAAAATATGATCACAAAAGGGAATGGAACATGTAGTGCTTTTGTGACATTGGTGGGAGAGGAGAAGAAGCAGAGGAATATACCAATCAGGGACTGTAATAATAGTAGTCCAGACTAAATACCTCACCATCACAGCACCCAACGTGAAGGAAATTGGTTAAATCTGGAAAAATATTTCTTAAGCCAGCTTCATTTCCAGTTCAATTCATGAGAGATAAGCAGCTGAAGACTGCTGTTCATAAAATCTCTATGAATCAGTAAATACTACCGACAAACACAGAACATTATCGTATCATTATCATTACCAAAAGCCACACTTGTATCTAAAAGAAACATTGCTTACCTGGTTTCAGAGTTGGTCTGAAAAAGTCAGTAATACATTTGCTTCTACAATAATAATAAAAAAGAAACATAATAAAAACTTAGCAATGTTCGGAAAGGGCATTTTAAAATATACAGTAAGTAGCCTTTCTCAATCAAATCTTTCTAGATATAGGAACATAGCAATCTTTAGCATGTTGAGTATTAACAAACAATACAGCTCTCTCACCAGACTGAGTGAGATGTAAAATTGTAACAATAGACTACTGATATTACAGCCTTGATTAAGTAACATGGACTCTTGCCATACATGTGGCAATCATGATCATCCCCAGTTAGGGTACATATAGAATATTTCCTGTACTATATCCTTAGTTCTTTTTTCCAAATTCTAATTTTGGAAATCTTTGTTTTGAAATTATATTTATATCTGAAAAGCAGTTTAAGAATTGGAGTGCAAGAATAAAAATTAGATCTTTGTTCAGAATAACTTACCACACTGATATTTCATTTTCCCTATTTCAACATTCACCTTTGATTCACTTGTTTGAAGGTGAATTATTTGCCTTTGCTTCTAAAGCAGGGATGACCAAATATACCTTATGTAGAATTTTCTATCCCAACAGAGATTTTGGAGGAAGGAATGTCAAAATAATAAATGAAAACAATTTATCAAACAATGGAATCTTATTTGTTTTTTAAAATTTATTTCTTACAGTATACAAAATGTTCTTCTAAAGTATTTGGTTTGGGAAACACTTTGTAAAAATAAGAGCACATAAGTAAATAGTTTTGAACGCAGTTTATCTAAAAATATGCTGTTTCAATTCATAAGGACTTCAGATATGTCTTCTGCTCCATACAGCTCATCCTATATTTTTTTCCTTGATTCATTGCTTATACAATGCTATAGTACCATTCTTTGTTATATTTTTATGCACTTTATTACTCAGAGCCAGCATGTGGTTTGGAAAAATTGTACATAAAAGTAAATTATTATTATTGGCTGTGAGTAAAAACCTTTGTTTTTGAGTTGATACAATTCATTTTGATCTAGGGTATTTAAACTATACTTGGATAAATTTTGGAATGAGGCCTCTATTATTCTGATATTCAATATTCCTTTCTTTGAGATCTCTCTTAGCCAGAGTAAATCTGAGGAATGCCTTAAAACATTTGTATCCTTTCCAATTATTGATCTTCTCTGGTGAGATTTCCACCACAGAACTTAAACCATGACTTAGAACTTAGTGAGGAACAACAATCACTTTTGGCCCTGCTATTTTGAATATTCTAGGATTTGTGGCTGCACTGTAGCAATTGAATTATAATAACAGAAGAAACAGGAAGAGAAGGAAGAAAGCAGCAGCAGCAACATGAAGACATAGAGTACTGCTGTAGAGATTAAAACATTATCCTGCCTACACAAATAGATAACAGATATTGTGAAGGACAAACCTTTCTTTGGTAATAATACTTCATCATTCTTGTAATATTTTAATTTGTAAAGGTGGGAGGGTATTTTAGAATGCTGCACAATCCCCACTTGTAGACATATTTTGCTTGATTTTTCAAAAAGCAGGAAACGCCAGTGTAGCCTTTTGCAACAAACTATTCCAATGTTTGCTGCTGATGGTTTATTTATAAAAACTGGATTTAACATGGAAGTAACTGGAACATACAACTATAATACATCCAACCTACCACCTTACTATAATTCACACAACTTATTAAGTTAAAACCCAACAAACACTTTCTGAAAACAAGTAAGTGCTGTAATGAGTCTTGGACAAGTACTAAGCTCACAAGATTATAACTGCATTTGAAACCGTTTCTACTTGTAAGTTTCTACTTTGCTTCTGAAGTCTTTAGGATTGAATATATCACATACACTATACCATGCATATTTCCCATTCTATACTGAAAATGTTACATTATTAATATAAATGTATTGCCAACAAACAATATCTGAGTCAGTGTTTCTATCAATTTTTTAAAAATGTTTTCTTTCTACCAATTGTAAGAATAGCCATAGTACAAATTGAAGTTAGGAGGAACTGAAGTACAGTAATGACCCTTTTTCTAATGAGCATTACAGCAAAATTCCTAGTGTCTCTCTCACACACTGAAAATGTTGTACAATAAAATGGTCATACCATATAAGATTCCATTCTTACAACTGAATAAAAAATTTAGGAATAAACGAGATTTTAATAACCCATCACAATACTTCGTTTTATTGCAAATCTATTATAGCAAAATTAAACTGAATAAACTATTAATTACAACCACCTCATCAGATGGCTTAACTGCTAGGTTAACTTATATTAAAGAAAATACACTAATTGCCACTAATAGTTTAATTTAGGATATATTCCAGACTAATGGTTTCCTAGCTGCTTGACAGCTGAGGGACCAACACATGCACAGACTCACAGAAAGATTTGTGTTCTATGTGTAAAATAAAAGGCAAAATTTCACCTGGCAGCACAGTGAGAGTTTATGGCGTAATGACTAAATGTACAAGATATGAAAAGTAAATCACATTACTTTTTTAAAAAGTATTATATATAGCTTTAATATTTCCTAGCCTTCTCCACATGTGCCTTGTTCCCTCAATTGTTGTGTATCCATACCCAATGGTTGGGATCAAATGTTGCATTAAGTCAAATCCCGACAAACCATATTATGGCTTAGCTCATCTATATAATAATTCTTTGAGAATACGAAATAAGGTATCTTTCAGCCCTCTACTTATTGGTTACATTTCCCTCAAATACTAAGTAGTGCCAATGAATTACTGCAGGGCATTCCATGTCAACAGTGCCATAATTCTACCATCAAAATTCTACCCAAAACTGCATGGCTATGCCCAGAGGTTCTACCTCCCATTAGTATACTTCTTATCGTAACAGAATTTAGAATTGCTATGGTAAGATTTAGTCTGCTCTGAATCTATAAAAAAACCACCTCCCAAACTAACCAGGGAAACTTTCCTCATTGATCATGCCAAATATTTGTGTGCATTTTCCTTCTACCTTTAGTTCAGCATCCAACTTTCCTAGACATCCTCTTCATATCTCAGGCAATTCTAAAGCACTTTAAAACATTAAGCTTGCCTTTCAGAATATCATCCAATATTTGGCAATTTTCAGATTAGCTACAGTGTGAAAAGGATTCCTTTTCTCATCTGAAATCTAGAAAAGATTTTATATAATCTCAAGGGAAGCAAAAGAGAAACACATTACTCTTGCAGGTAGAGACCAGCATCTTCTTCTCCAGAGTCCATTTTCTTTCTGTGCAACATAGTGAGAAATGGAACTTCTGTTTAACTATTTGGTACAAAACAATTTTGAAACAATTTGGTACAAAACATTTTTTTCCCTTTATAGTCAGGTTGCTGCTCTTCCATATGGCGATTGCTAGTATGTGCAAATTTCTGGGGCTACATACTAGCAACTCTGGTTGCAACTCTACTGCTGGTATTCAACTTTCAATGTATCCATTTATTCTTCCAGAAGTGGTTTCTCCTCAGGTAAGGCTAACTGCAAAAGCAAAGAGCCATTCCTTGCAAGCATCATCCCAAATGGAAAAGCCCAGCAAGAGTTTGTTCCTCTCCCCCCCAACCCCAAATTCTTTAAGGATTGGAACATTTTCTATCAGAAAATCTTGAAAGACATTAAGATAGGCAATAAACATCGTACACGACGTTTTCTTTAAAGGGAAGCCTATAAACCACTCAAGGATCCAGCTTACAGGAATTTGTTCCATTTGAATTGAATAGAATAGAGCTGGAAGGGACCTTGGAGGCCTTCTAGTCCAGCTTCCCGCTCAAGCAGGAGAGCTTATACCATCTCAGACAAGTGACTGTCAGCTGACTCAGGAATTCTGGGAGTTGAAGTCCATGAGTCAGAAAAGAGCCGAGGTTGCCTACCCCTGGGCTAGCCTCTTCTTAAAAATCTCCAATGATGGAGCGCCCACGATTTCTGGGGGCAAGCTATTCCGCTGGTTAATTGTCCTCACTGTCAGGAAGTTTCTACTTAATTCGAGGTTGCTTCTCTCTTTGATCAGTTTCCAACCATTGTTGCTTGTCCTGCCCTCTGGTGCTTTGGTGAAAATCCCGTTCTTTGTGGCAGCCGCTCAGATACTGGAATACTGCTATCATGTCTCCCCTACTTCTTCTTTTCTTTAGATTAGCCAAACTTCATCCGGCTTCGCGGAACAACACCCGCCGAACAACACATACCCACCCCTGAGCGCGGCATCAGCACCAACCCATCTAGTTCTGGAAACGCAGCTGACCCTTCCGCTCCCAAGTCCCTCACAGGATATCTGATGGGAACAGTCACTCCCACGTACCTGGTATCCGCGGCCCCGCGGCCCACCGACTGGTGCTGCTGGCTGGGAGAACGCGCAGAAATGCTAAGCTGCCCCTGGCGGCCGCTCCCATTACAATTCTGGGTCATGTTTCCAAATACAGCCGCCCGCTTTGGGGCTGAAAGGAGTAATAGTTTCCGGGCTTTAGATTCTCCATTGCACAAGACCTCGGGCGAAAGAGGGAGGCGGAGGGGCGTGGTGTTCCTGAAGCGGTACTAGGATTGGTCGACCTCGGGGAAGAATGCTCCGGTCCACGTGCCGACCTCGAGGAATAGAAAATACAGAAAGCCCGAGCGCTCTTCGGATTGGTTGCTACTCCAAGCCAACTTCGAACTGTGTGTCGTTACGTAGCTCCTGCTTGGCTTTCACGGGGCGTTTCTATGGAGCGGGAGAGGGAAATGGTTGAAATTGGAGCCTTGGCGCTTTCCGGTGGCAGCGCTTCTAATAGGTTGGCGGAAGAGCGCGCGCTTCTGGCCAAGCTTCTCGGATTCACGCCAGATGGGGGGGGGGAAACCGCCACGCACATGCGCGCAGACGACCTCGGCGTTGGGAAAGGGGAGAAAGAGAGAGGGGTGAGATAGGTGGCGTTCTCTCTCAGCAGCGCAACAATGAATTGTAGCGTGGGCAAATATGTCATTCCAAATAGCAACACGGTGGCAGGACATTGCAACCGCCCATTAGTCGTAAGGAGTCGTTAGATTTATTATCAAATTACCAGAATAGCAGCAGTAACAGGAATTGACAGCCACCGCTACAGGTTTTTTCACCCAATACGCTAATTTAAGGATTCCTAAATTAATCCAGTTGTCTGAGACTGCACAAAATACTATTTTATCTATTTTATGTTAAAATTTATAGAGCCACCTGACTCCCATCATGGTTCTTGAGGGGGCATGCCGTGGGCTCCTTTCTCAATGAAACAGTTATGACCTCAGGTCCAGCTTCATATTACCTTCTGGGTGGCCACCAGCCAGGAGTGGCATGGATACAATAAATAGCTGGCTAGATTAGCCACTTAGACGATTCTTATCTCTCCAGGAGTTACAGATTCAAATGTACCCCATGTAACCACACATATGCCAGTTCCTTGTATGTAACAATGTACATACAATGTATGTACAAAACAATATAGTTTTTCATAACCCCACTTATAGCTTTAGAACTCCCTGGAATGCCTGGATACAAAAATTTGTGGCCCTTTTTGCATTTCTAGGAGTTTGGAGATGCCTAACTTCACCTCTTAAAAATCCTCAATACACCTGTCCTGTCAGGCTGATTTTAAGGCTGTAAAAAGGACAATGGGTATTTTACCCATTTAATATTCCAAACACATAAAAGGGCTTACAGTGTAGATATACCTACTCTAGTGATGTAATTGTAGGACTAATATAGCTAGTTTTAGCCACAAAAACCTCATTTTGCTGAAAAACTTTCATGTTTCTGTCTTTTAAGAGTCTCTCTCATTTCTGGGCCTCACATCCTGGCCCTAAAATTCCCTGAAGGCTTTGTAACAGCTTTTATCAAAGAACCATTCTGAAAGAGGATACCAATGGAAACAAGATTGGACCCTCTTCTTATTGTAAACAGGTTAGTTAGAATGTACTGAACTCCTCTTTTCTTCTGGCAGATAAATGAGCTAGAAAGTTTGCATAATTAATTAGCAGCCTTATCAGGTAGAGACAGAAGAACCTCTAGAGCAGTGGTTCTCACCCTGTGGGTCGGGACCCCATTTGGGGTCGAACGACTATTTCATGGGGGTCGCCAAACAACGCAGTCCACCATTTTTTCCCCCTTTTCTTTAGCTGTGCTACTCCCTTTTATTCTATTGGCTTTTGAAAGCCAATAGAATAGACTCTCTTGAATAGAGTCTAATTCTATTGGCTTTCAAAAGCCAATAGGAATTGTCCAGGCTGTCTCTGCCCTGCTGAGCCCGCCAAAAGTCCCATTCTGCAAACGGTGCTGCACCAATTGAGTAGTCCTTGACTTACGACCGGTTGAGTAGTCCTCGACTTACGACCGGTTGGGGGGTCGCGGCATTAAAAAGGTTGAGAACCACTGCTCTAGAGGAGCGTGAATGCATTGTTGCTTGTTGCCTATTGCTTAATAATTTCTATGGATGGCCCTACAAATACTACAACATTTTATACACCTTTGTTTTCCAAAAGTGTATATAAGTTATGCTAATTGAGTACTGGGGCCTCTCAATTTGTGATGAAGTCCCCAAGAGCACACCTCTTTGTGCTGTACAGAATAAACAGATTTCAGTTTCCCTCGTGTGTTAATTGGCTACTTTGCACTAGGGAAAAACAAATCCAGCATTTTACTAGGCCAGTCATGGTTTGACCATCGTAATGACATAACTGGCCATACTCCTTGTACCCCTCAAGGAGTACAAAAAGGTTGTCCTCCTCTGCTTTAAAAGGCTATTTGCCAATAATAGGAATATTAGACCCCTTTTTACTTCCTGCAGGTATCCTCCGAGACTCACTTAACCTGTCTGAAAATAACAAACTTAAATATTTATTTATTTGTCAAATAACATATTATAAATCTTAATTCCAAGTTAGAAGATACTTTAAAAAAGTGTAGGAAGTCATCACCCACCCTCCTAGAGAAGGAAATATTTGGAGGGATATTGAAAAAGGCAGAATATTATATTTCCCCAAATTAATAATAGGAAAATCTTAGAAACCAGCCCCCAGAAACCAGCCCCCCCCAGTTTCCCTGCCCCAAGTAGAAACTCGGGAAACCACTTTTTAAAAATGCAGATTTGATAATCCTATTCAGAAAGACTGGGGCCAGGAAGGTTTGAGCTGATGGAATTAGAAAAACAAAGATTCCCAAGGACAGAACATGATCTTTAGGACATAATAGGATTAACCCACCACCATTAGAATACCAAAAGCTCAGGTCAAAGTCCATTGCACAGGAACAGGAACAACTCCAAACACAAAAACCCAAGAAGGTATAAAAACCCACCACACCCAGCTCCATTTTGTCAGCTTTCCCAAAAATGCATGTTGTTGCTGTTCTGTTCTTAAATAAACTGAATCTTCTTTCCTAAGCAGACTCCATCATGTTTATTCCCAGCTTGGACTAGACCTGAAGGTTTTTCTTTCAACTAAAGTATTCTAATTTTTTACTGCAAGATGTAACTAATTTCTAATATGAGTGCACCAATTATGTTACCTAATTTGGTAATGAAATTTCTGCAAGAAAACAACCAATCTCTAATAGTTGCTTCTTATAAAATTAGGTTGATAATATACTGCAGGTAGCCCAGTAGTGGCATCCAAGAGGGTGATCAGATTCATTTGATGAAAACAACCTTTTGTTGAAACACCATAAGCTTCATCCCACATGTGTATCATTATATCGCACATTTCCAAAAGACAGTTTGCACTGCAATGGTGTTTTTGTCACATTACCAGAGCTGCAAGTGTGGGTGTTGTACAAATATATTAATTCCCAATATTTATGGAGGGAAATATTACAGAGGACAAAAATGTGCACAACATTTTAAAAATCTCTACCAACAAATTATATTTCAGTTACTTTAAATCCATAAACTACAGAACAAATTACTGGATATTTCCCACACCAAATTACAATTGTAATATGTTTTGTTAATATCATTTCATTGCCCCTATTTAAGTGAAAGTCCAATCTGGTAGTAGTTTACAATGTTGCTCATATATTAATTAAAAATAAATACATAAACATCCAACAGACATATTAGTAAATAACATTTGTTTCTTTGATATGGCTGCCCATCTCATACATGACTCTAGGTAGCTAACAGTTAAAAACAGAATAAAAAGAAACCAAAATTAAAAATGAGAGATAACATAACGTAGCAGAATTGAACACTCATTTAATAGAACTATAACCAAGAAATGGTAGGACACTCATTTATTATATCATTAGTAT